CACTGACCTTGAGTTTTGGAGTTGTAGTTCACCTACATCCAGAGAGAACTGTGGACTCAAACAATGATGGATCTGGACCAAACTTGGCACAAGCACTCAATATGCCCAAATATGAACACAGATGGAGTTTGGGGGAAATAGCCTTGCTATTTGGGAGTTGTAGTTATTGGGATTTATAGTTCACCTACAATCAAAGAGTATTTTGAACCCCACGAACGACAGAATCGGGGCAAACTTCCCACACAGAACCCCCATGACCAACAGAAAATACTTAAGGCCATCTAATCCAACTCCCTTCATCAAAGCAAGAAAACATAATCAAAGTCCTCTGGACAAAGAGCTACCCAGCCATAGATATATAGAGATAGATAGATAGATAGATAGATAGATAGATAGATAGATAGATAGATAGATATGTTTCACACACAGAGAGATATAGTATAGATTTGAAAGGGACCCTTAAAGGAGGACAGTGATGTGTGGGCAAACCAGACACACTCCACATCAACACTGACAAAAGAAACAGCAACTGTTTACCCACAAGCATAAAGAAATTACATATATTAGAAACCAACACTTTCTCATTCCTCTATTTTCCAGATCAACAGACTGGGCCACAGCAATGCATGGCAGGGGATATATATACATATACATACATATACATATATACATATACATACATATATATATCTCCACCCCTCAAAACCTGGTTCATCCACCCAGGAATTTTGAGCACATTCTTGACATGTTTTCATCTTCTTTGAGGTAAGAAAACGTTGATTGTTGCTATAGCAGGGCTGTTCTCCCTCTCTTAATCCAGGCAGGAGCTGCAAATGTTTCGTTGCGGCAATCTGGCGCACTCTATTTCGTCAGAGCCATTAAAGTCATTCATTCAAAAACAGGGGAGGAAAAAAAATCCAACCACATATCATTTCTGTGACTTCCTGAACAGGCACATATCCCAAGCTTAGATAATAATTGCCTCATTTAAATGATAATGCCAAGATGTTTTTGTTCTGGCGAGAGATTCACGGCGGGGCTGTCGTTGTACTAAATAGTCCACTCGTTGCGTTCACTCCAGATTGTCAAATGCACACTCACACAAAATTTGGTGTGAGCAGCCAATATTTTTTTTAAGATGAGGAAGCTTCCTCATTTGAGGGAGGGACGTACCTCCCAGGCAGAAGTGTCTCGTAAAGCATAAGCACTGGAAGCAGCACTAAAGAAATAAGAGTTTTTTGGGGTTGTTGCAAAATGAAGGCCATAACTTTGCCACCAGCAATGGGGATACTTCATCTGTTCGGCACACATTAAGAGCCTCGTAGGTTTTTTATGGCATCATAATCTTTGATTATTCTGATAAATATTTGGATTGCGGAGGAGATTATGCCAAAGTTAATGGCGGTAATAAAACGAACACCTCAGTGTGTGGAATTGAAAAATCCAGATGTGAAATGGGCAACTTTTGGCTGAGTTGCAAAATCCAGTACTTAAATTTCTTAAGCAGCTTTCACTCTCTCTCTCTCGTTTCCATAGATGCAAAGCAATTGTAAAGTTGCAGTAATCACAACATCTTTCACCGTTATTGTTTCAGGTTGACCCATTTACTTGGAACAAATGCAACCCATGGCTAATTTGGTCCAATAGCTCACTTTGTATTGGAAAGCTTTGAGTGATATATATTCTAGTAATAATATTATTAAGTCTATTAACACTGCATTAGATGACATTAACTTAAAACTAGTTAGTTACACTTTGTAGATTCCTTCTAGGCCTTTCATTGAAGGAATTGTCAGTACAAAAATGCAATGATTAACTCAAGAATCTACTCTCTCATGTTTGTGGGTGTTGGGTTGCTGTAAGTTTTTCGGGCTGTATGGCCATGTTCCAGAAGCATTCTTTCCTGAAGTTTCACCTGCATCTATGGCAGGCATCCTAAGAGATGGAAAAGCTGCACATCGCAAGTGCTGAACCTGACTCAGCACATAGAATATGACTTTGAAAGGCAGCAGATCATAGGAGCTGTCTTCATAGACATGTCCGCAGCTTATGATACTATAAACCACCACCTCCTCCTGAGAAAAATGTATAATATCACAAAGGACTACCACCTCACCCGCCTCATAGGAAACCTGCTACAAAACAGGAGCTTTTTTGTTGAGTTCCAGGGCCAGAGAAGCAGATGGCGGAAACAGAAGAACGGTCTGCCTCAGGGGAGCGTGCTTGCTCCATCCATGTTCAACATCTACACAAATGACCAGCCACTGCCAGAAGGGACAGAGAGTTTTATCTATGCAGATGATCGTGCCATTACTGCCCAAGCAGGGAGCTTTGAGATGGTTGAACAGAAGCTCTCCGAAGCTCTAGGCGCTCTTACTGCCTACTACAGGGAAAACCAGCTGATCCCTAATCCATCTAAAACACAGACCTATGCTTTTCACCTTAAGAACAGACAAGCATCCCGATCTCTGAGGATGACCAGGGAGGGAATCCCACTGGAGCACTGCAGCACACCCAAATACCTGGGAGTCACTGTTGACTGTGCTCTGACCTACAAGAAGCACTGCCTGAATATCAAGCAAAAAGTGGGTGCTAGAAACAATATCATACGAAAGTTGACTGGCACAACCTGTAGATCACAACCAGACACAGTGAAGACATCTGCCCTTACGCTATGCTACTCTGTTGCTGAGTACACATGCCCAGTGTGAAACACATCTCACCACGCTAAAACAGTGGATGTGGCTCTTAATGTGCCACATCGCATTACTACGGGGTGTCTGCGCCACTGGAGAAATTACACTGTCTAGCCAGTATTGCACCACCTGACATATGCCGGGAAGTAGCAGCCTATAGTGAAAGGACCAAGGCAGAGACATCTTCAGCTCATCCCTTGTTTGGGTATCAGCCAGCACATCAATGACTTAAATCAAGAAATACTTTTCTAAGATCTACAGAGACACTCGCTGGAACACTCCAGCAAGCGAGAGTCCAAAAGTGGCAGGCTCAAACCCAGAACCATAATCAATCGCTGATACCAAATGAGAGACTCCCCCTGGGCACACAGAAAACTGGGCGACTTGGAAGGCGCTGAACAGACTGCACCACGAGATGCAGAGCCAATCTTAAGAAATGGGGCTACAAAGTAGAATCCATGACATGCGAGTGAGGAGAAGAGCAAACCACTGACCACTTGCTGCAATGCAACCTGAGCCCTGCCACATGCACGATGGAGGACCTTCTTGCGGCAACACCAGAGGCACTCCAAGTGGCCAGATACTGGTCAGAGGACATTTAATCAACTGCCAAGCTTGCAATCTTTGTGTTTTGTTTGTTTGTTTAGTTAAAATGTAATACAACTGTCTGGTTGCTCCTGACACGATAAATAAAAATCTGGCAATGAGTTGTCCTATAACAGCTGTTTCTAATGAAGGTGTTTCTTATTAATAAAGTTCAATCCCTGCACTTGATACCTTTGGGTTTCATTTACCCTTCTCTGATAAAACATGTCCTCTCTAGGTATTTTATGAGTTCTCCAGGTATGAGTCCATGAATGAGACTTCAGCTTCTCCCAAGCTTTATGAGTATTTCCAAGAAGCTTGAGAAGGCCCACGATGGTGGTGGTAATGGGGGTCCAGTAGCAAATTTTGCTTGTACCACTTTTGTCCTCCCTTGATGATGTAACTCATTTCTTGGAAATGATGGAACAGGAAAGAGGTGCGCTATGGGGGAGGAGGGAAGTAGCAGAAAGTTGAAACCTGAGGCCTATCTTGAGCTTTTGAATGGATAACAGAACCATAGAGAAAGATGAGAGCCCAAGGACCATCTGTTATGAGGGAATACACAACCTTCTGAGAAGAAGACTCAACTGCACACCAAGGCAGTATATTCCACTGTCAAGCAGCTCTTACTACCAGAAGGTTCTTTCTAATGTTTAGGTGCAGCATCTCTTTCACTAGTTGGAATCCATTATGCCATTGTGTTCTAATCAACAACAGTCCATGTGAAAAAGATCTTGGAGTCTTGGTGGAGAACAAGTTGAACATGGACCAAGAGTGTGGTGCAGCAACCCAAAAAGCCAATGGGATTTTGGGCTGCTTCAAAAGGAAAATAGTGTCCAGATCAAGGGAAGCCATGGTGCCTCTCTTCTGCTTTGGTCAGACCTCTTTACCTGGAATCATACTGTGTCCAATTCTGGGCCCCACAGTTCAAAATAGAGATTGACTCTAACCTGGAAGAAGGGGTACAGAGGAAGAGGGCAACTAAAATGTTCAAAGGTCTGGAGACCTTGAATAATCTTCCTGAGGAGCAGGTTAAAGAGCTGGGTCTGCTTAGCTGCAGAAGAGAAGGTTGAGAGGAGACATGAGAAGAGCCATGTATAAATATGTGAAAGGGTGTCCCAAGGAAGAGGGAGAATACATGTTTTCTGCTGCCATGGAAACTAGGACTCAATTACAGGAAAGGGGATTCCACCTGAACTTTAGGAAGAACTTCCCAACTGTAAGAAGAGCTGTTCAGCAGTGGAACTCTCTGCCTTGGAGTCCGGTGGAAGCTCCTTCCCTGGAAGATTTTGGGGGTGCTGTTGATTGTGCTTTTCCTGCATGGCAGATTGGGATTGGACTAAATGGTCCATGCGATCTCTTCCAATTGAATAATTATTCTATGAGTCTATGATTCTATTATTCTACTCTAGAGTAGCAGAAAGCCAGCTTGTTCCATCTTCCCTACAACATCCTTTCAAATATGTAAACATGGCTACCATGTTCCCTCTTAACATTCTCTTCTCCAGGCTAAACATACCCAGTTCTCTATTTATGTTATTGATCTTTTCCCTCTCATCCAAAATCACCAAGGCAACCAGCCTTGTGCTATGCTTCTTTGCCATCAGCCATATTGGCAGAGATTTCTGCGAGCTGTAACCTCCCCCAAGGTATGTGTGCTTCTTTTCTCCCAGCAGTGTGTTCAGTTCACTCATGCCCATGTTTGCTCGAAAAACTTACGAAATAAACTGAAGAGCGAAACGAAGGCTAGGACCATGCTGGCATGGAGGGTGGATGATGCGCTGCAGTCAAATTTGTATTTCGTGCAGGAGCACACCTGGATTTTCAGTTCTGTACTGTTAGTTAGAGGAGGTTTCCCAGAATCTGTCACCAAAATAGGGATGTTGTAGTTGGCTTTCTTCAAGTTTTGAGGCAGGGTGATTTGGGCGTGAGTATCTACAAGAAATAAGGAGGTAACAATTAGAAATGTCTTCATCATAAAATGTCTTCATTAATGACTTAAATCTAGAAATAGTTTTCTAAGATCTACAGAGACACTCGCTGGAACACCTCAGCAAGCGAGAGTCCAAAAGTGGCAGGCTCAAACCCAGAACCTCAACCAATGGCTGATACCAAATGAGAGACTTCCCCCTGGGCACACAGAGGACTGGGCGACTTGGAAGGCACTGAACAGACTGCGCTCTGGCACCACAAGATGCAGAGCCAACCTTCAGAAATGGGGCTACAAAGTGGAATCCTCGACATGCGAGTGTGGAGAGGAGCAAACCACTGACCACCTGCTGCAATGCAACCTGAGCCCTGCCACATGGAGGACTTCCTTGCAGCAACACCAGAAGCACTCCAAGTGGCCAGATATTGGTCAAAGGACATTTAACCAACTACCAAACTCACAAATTTTGTATTTTGTCTGTTTGTTTGCTTTGTTCCGTTAGAAATGTAATATAATTGACTGGTTGCCCTGACACAACAAATAAATCATAAAAATAACAATGTCCTTATCAAATGGTGTTAGGTGCTATTGAGACAGTGTGGTGTAATGTTTGAGTGTTGGACTGGAATTCTAGGAGATTAGGGTTTGAATCCCTGCTCCTTCTATCCATACTAGAGAGTTATAGCAGTTTGATTCCACTTAAAGTACCATGACTCCATCCTATGGACTCCTAGATGTTGTAGTTTGTGGTGACCCCAGAACTCTCTGACAGAGATGGGCAGATATCTCATAAAATTACAAATAGCATTGAGCCATGGTAGTGGTATCAATCAGTATTCATTCTACACTGTAGATGCACCCCAAGAAACATGGGACAGTTGATTTCATACGAGGTTTCTCTAGAATGTCCAGATTTCTTGCACATCTTTTGTTTATTTATTTTATTTATCATGTCATCAGCAACCATACCATTGTATTACAATTCTAACAGAACAAAACAAACACACAGATTAAAAATAAAAAATAAAACAAAAACACACAGATTTTGCAAACTTGGTAGTTGGTTAAATGTCCTTTGACCAGTATCTGGCCAAGTCACCCAGTCTTCTGTGTGCCCAGGGGGGAGTCTCTCATCTGGTATCACCCATGGATTGAGGTGCTGGGTTTGGGCTTGCCACTTTGGAATCTCGCTTTTGTTAAAACTATTGTGATGGACAGCTTTCAAAAATCCAGCGCAACAAATGTTGTTCTCAAACCATTTCTAAAACTTAGCAAGGATGGAACATCTGTATCAGAAGACACAAAGGGACGAGATGAAAATCTCCTTCTGAGGTTGGGATCCAACAGAAAGAAGCACAAGTCAGACGACATTCCCCCTCCGGACTTCTCATTTCTTGTGAAGAGAAAGCAACAGGTGTGATGCTTTCTATCCCATTGTCTGGAATTGCGACAATATACAGAGTTGGCTCGTTTCCTCCCAGGGCACTCATTTTCCCATTGAAGAAGTGGCAACATTCCCACTTGCATCAACAAAATGGTATTTCAATACTCTTCAAACATGAAACATTGCTTTCAGTGCCAATTATAGAAAAAGTATTTCACAAGCCGCCTTCCCCAGTAGAGATCTGTCAGGCTCTTGCCTTCTTTGAGTCAAAGTTTTGGAAAGCTTTGTGTCTCAGTGAATATTGAAGTCTACCAAGGAGACTTTGGCCAGCATTGGAACCGCTATGGCTGCAGGCAATGCTTTCAACCACGGCATCTAAAAATCCTAGCACTTGGCTCTTTCCCGTGACCCAAATTTAGTTGGACTGCCTTCATAAAGTCCATCAACACAGTAGTCCTATGTTCAAATAGATTTAAGATGCTATGTGCTACACACTGGAATGGAGCAGAAAACATGCTCTTCTCCAATGGGGGATTTTGGTGTCTGACTTTTTGGTTAAAGGCGAATGCAAATCCAGAAGGAACGATATAAAAGAAGTGGAAAGTTTTGAAACAAAGTTTGCTTCCTGAATTCATGGGTAAGTATGCAGAGACTTTTTGAACTTCTTTGAGTCAAAGTTTTGGAAAGCTTTGTGTCTCAGTGAATATTGAAGTCCACCAAGGGCGCAATCTTTGGAAGCTTTTAAACAGGCTGGATGGCCATCTGTCAGGGGTGCTTTGAATGCAATATTCCTGCTTCTTGGCAGGGGGTTGGACTGGATGGCCCATGAGGTCTCTTCCAACTCTGATTCTATGATTCTATGAACTCTTTAGTTTTGCCTAATAATCCTTCTTCTGCAATTCTTTCTCAATTTGGATTACAATGCCAATCAGCCTTCACTAGCCATTTTAGTTGGTGAGAGATGGGAGTTGTAGTACAAGTCTGGAAGATGCCAGGATGCAGAAGACAACAGTCCAGACATTATATGAATCACTGTTTCTCCATCCACAGAGTCCATATGTGGGGAGACCACAGTCAGATGAATTTCTCTGCCTTTCATTGAAGGAAACTGAGGCACAGCATTCAACCAATTGAGAAATCTCATTTACAGAAGGATTCACTTGAGCTAAGTGTTGTGTAAATGGAAATAATGGGATATGAAGATATGTGAACTAGCTTTTATTTATGGACTCTGGCTTAGAGAGTCCTGTGGTGTTTTACTTTCAGGACAGTGTGACTGGTTCCATGGAAGTAGCGTTTCATATAATAGAAAGATATGGCACAGGTGAACCTCCCAAATGCACTAGATTGCAACTCCAAGCACCCTTCCACATTGCCTATGTTGGCTACATCTGATGGGATTTTCAGTTCAAGAATCTCGGCTCTAGTGAGAAACTAGAATAATCAAAATTGTAACACAGTCTAAGACTGAGCATCATTGGTTTGACTGCAAATAGCTGGGGAGAGATAAAAGACATGAGAAGAGGAGAAATGAAAATGGAAGGCTGGAAAGGTTATTACTTCTGATGGACTTACTGTTGATTCTGGTGATTTTCCATGCTTTATCTTGACCCGACTGTTTGCTCAGCTCAAACTTGAATGGGTCTGTATTAGGACGGATATCCTTATCTAAGGCGCCCAGGATGACCTTCACATCTTTCATGTCTTCGCAGACGCTTAAGACAGTTTGGTGAAGGGAGGGTGGGTTGTCATTGACGTCTTCCAATATGATTTGCAATGTCCCTGTCCCCGTTGCCGGAGGGCTACCTATGGAGAAAGCCAGAGACTTTATGAACTGGCCAATTATGTACTGTGTACACATGGATTATGCATGCAGAACCAAGACACCCATATGGCAAGGCTGTAGATTTTAAGCAGATGGGAATCGGGAGATATTATTTGCAGCCTGACAACTCCTTTTTTATATGCATTACTTTCAACACCAGTGCGTTCCATTTCCGGCAACTGAAATAAAAACCGTTCAAGCAGTAAATAAGTAAACAAAATAGAAATTGCTGTCTTGTGGGTTGGAATCGTGCAATAGCAGGCCTCCTTGTTCAGAAGTGAGTCCAACTGTGCTTCTGCTTTAAGGGTCATTTCATACATTTTGGAAGCTATGGACTCCCCTCAAAAGGACTATCCAGCCCAATGTCTGTGATATACAACTTCAAAGCATATGAAACATGATTCCACTTTGTTCTGTGGAAATTTCAAATGAAATTATCTAACGATGTGATGCATTTCCCCACTGATTTCTCTTATTCAAGAAAGCAAGTTTTCAAGGGTGGTTTTGCACCAATCCACTATTTCAATGTGAGAACCATTTCCATGTTAATGAGGAACAGGCTTGTACAGGTATGGGCCAACTTAGGCCTGCCCTCGCTGCCTGCAGGTGTTTTGGACTCCAACTTCCAGAATTCCTAACAGCTGCAAGCCCTTTCCTTTTACCACTTAGCCACTTAAGTGGAAAGGGAAAAGGAAAAGGAAGGAGACCGAGGCTCTTAGAAATTGTTGGAGTTGGAGTCCAAAACACGTGGAGGGAGGGAGGGCCCAAGTTGGCCTATGCCTGGTTTATAATTAATGCCCAACCATTAAACTGCTATGGATTGGCTATTGAATCATAGGAGTTGTATTTTGGCGAGGCTCCCACACTCTTGGGCAGAGGCAGCTAAAGGTATTGTAAGACTACAACTGCCTGGATTCCCTAGCATTGAGCCATGGCAGTTAAAGTGGTCTTCCATGGCATGAATTCTACAGCTTAGATCAGGGGTCCCCAAACTTTTTGAACAGAGGGCCGGGTCACAGTCCCTCAAACTGTTGGAGGGCCGGATTATAATTTGAAAAAAAAAAAAACCATGAATGAATTCCTATCCACACCTCAAATATCTTATTTGTAGTGAAAAAAAACACTTTAAATAATACAATAATTAAAATGAAGAATTATTTTAACAAATATAAACTTAGCAGTTTAGAATAAATATAAACCTAGCCGTTAGAAAACATGCAAATGTGAGTAGATCAATAGATACCGCTCCGGCAGGAAGGTAACGGCGCTCCATGCAGTCATGCCAGCCACATGACCTTGGAGGTGTCTATGGACAACACCGGCTCTTCGGCTTAGAAATGGAGATGAGCAGCAGAGTCCCAGAGTCGGACATGACTGAATTTACCCCCCCCTCTCCTGCCTCCGGGATGCATCCAGGACGCATCCCGAAGGGTGGAGGGGCTGGGCCCACGGAGGCGACGGGCAAAGCAGGCCCAAGCCGCTTTGCCCGTCACCTCCCCCCCTCTCCTTCCTCCGGGAGGCATCCTGGATGGCTCCCCGAGGGAGGAGAGGCTGGGCCCACGGAGGCGACAGGCAAAGCAGGCCCAAGCTGCTTTGCCCGTTGCCTCCTCCCCTCCTTCCTCCGGGAGGCATCCAGGATGCCTCCCCGAGAGAGGAGAGCCTGGGCCCACGGAGGCGACGGGCAAAGCAGGCCCAAGCCGCTTTGCCCACTGCCTCCCCCCCTTCGCCTGCCTCTCACCCTTCTTCACAGCCCATGGGCCGGATAGATGCCCTCGGGGGGCCGGATCCGGCCCGCGGGCTGTAGTTTGGGGGCCCCTGGCTTAGATGCACCCTATGTCTTTGAAAAATCTGCAATGGCTTCAACAGGTGTACCAACAGTAGGACATTCTTCAACTTGAGATTACGATTCCCTCTGAACGGGAATACCTTGCTGTTCATAATGGGTAATTAATTATTGCTTCTCAATTAAAACTCAGACCAAAGTGGGAAGCAGCCAAGCTTTCATGTATGTGCTATTGCATGAACAACAGGACTCCAGTTTATCTCTTGGCTAGATTCCATCTATTTGGTTTTGTTTAGTCACAGAAATGGCATCAGAAAATGCTGTGTGGTATTTTTTATATGGAAATGTGATACCGGGGAGAGGCAGTGTCTCCAAGTGACAGCCAAGGCTCTTTTGCACCTTTGTTGGATGTAATCAGACAGAAAGGCCGGGAGGATTGCTTATACACCATCCAGTCGGAGCAACCTTTTGCTCTTTCACTGAAAAGAGATCCGGGAAGAAGCGGCTAGAAGCCTTTCCGCTTTAGGCGCCCACCTTCTGCAGCAAAACTAAGACCAGCACCTCATCCACTTAGGTCAACAAAGAGCTGACAGGTGGTAATAACTTTCTGTCACTTTCCAAAGTTAATCCAAGGACCTTATATATAGGTGAAAAGCGTGCTTTTGCATAGCTTGTGCTGGATGTGTTTTCCATCACTGAAGTTCTCAGAAGCTAAACAAGGCAAAAGTAGTCCCCAACGTTCAAGGCAAGTATTTTAAATGAGATTTTGGGGGGAATTATTCTTGTATTCAACAAAAGGGGTCTTGTGTTCACAAAAAAGCCAAAGGTGCAACATGGTGGAGAAAGGAAAGGGGATTCTTCATGGTTCTCATGAAGGACATTTGACTCCGTGCTGCCAAGTTCTTCAATGCCAGTTTAACAGGACAGGACAAGATCCTTGGTGCTGAAGGTGCCTTGGAAAGGTTTGCTTGTAAAATTGCCTGAGTTGTGCCACTGATCATCTTTCAAGCTATTTTTTCTAGGCCACCTTTAGTTGTCCATCTTCCAAAAGGTGGCCATTGGGAAAACAGGTTCCTTGGAGCTGAGAGCCCTCTTTTCCAATGATGATCAATATGAATCTGTCTCAGATTAGTCGGGGGTGATTTGATTGTGCTTTTCCTGCATGGCAGTGGGTTGGATGACCCATGAAATTCTTCCAAATCTATTATTCCATAATTCTAGGTGTTGATTTCTTATTCAACTATGTTTCTATAGGTCTAACTGAGTTGGACCTATAGCAGTGGTTCTCAACCTTCCTAATGCCGCGACCCCTTAATACAGTTCCTGATGTTGTGGTAACCCCCAACCATAACCCTAACATTATGAATCGCCATGTAAATAATGATCTGCAGGATGTATTTTCATTCACTGGAGCAAATTTGGCACAAATACTCGGTATGCCCAAATCTGAATACTGGTGGGGTTGGCGGGGGAATTGATTTTGTCATTTGGGAGTTGTAGTTGCTGGGATTTATAGTTAACATGTAAACAAAGAGCATTCTGAACCCCACCAACAATGGAATTGAACCAAAGTTGGCACAGAGAACTCCCATGATCAACAGAAAATACTGGAAGGGTTTGGTGGGTATTGACCTTGAGTTTGAGAGTTGTAGTTCGCCTACATCCAGAGAGCACTGTGGGCTCAAACAATGATAGATCTGGACCAAACTTGGCACGAATACTCAAGATGCCTAGATGTGAATACTGGTGGAATTTGGGGAAAATAGACCTTGATATCTTGGGAGTTGTAGTTGCTGGGATTTATAGTTCACGTACAATCAAGGAGCGTTCTGAACCCCACCAATGATAGAATTGGGCCAAACTTCCCACACAGAACCCCCATGACCAACAGAAAATACTGTGTTTTCTGATGGTCTTTGGCGACCCCTCTGACACCCCTTCATGACCCCCTCAGGGGTCCCGACCCCCAGGTTGAGAAACACTGGCCTATAGGATCATTTGTGGAAGAACTTGGAGTTTTTGGGTCTAAAAGTGGAATGCCAGCATTCAGTTTAAGGTTGCAGTAGCCAAAGAGGCACATTGACCTAGGTTGTGAATGCATCAATATTTCCATTTATTTATTTTATTTATTTGGGGTTCTTTTACCCCGCCCTTCTCACCCCGAAGGGGACTCAGGGCGGCTTACAAAGGCAAAGGCACAATTCGATGCCTGCATCATAAAACAATCATACACAAAATTACATCAATTCACAGTTAATAACAATTCATGCATTATAACCATAAAATCAATAAAATCAATAAAACCAATACAAACCCAATTTCTCCTCTTACATGGTCAGCGTTCGCTAACTCATAGATCTAGTTTTACGTTTCACTTCATCAGTCTTGTTGGTCCTTACTTGCCTGATTATCTGATTTAATTGCCAGCGTGCCCAAAGGCCTGGTCCCATAACCATGTCTTCACCCTCCTCCTAAAGGCGAGGAGGGATGGTGATGCCCTGATTTCCCCCGGGAGTGAGTTCCACAGGTGAGGGGCCACCACTGAGAAAGCCCTGCTCCTCGTCCCCACCAGCCTCACTTGTGACAGTGGTGGGGTCGAGAGCAGGGCCTCCTGCTCTCGACCCCACTGCACCCTGTGACCAGTCAACACAAGGACTGTGTCGCACAATTCAACTGCACCCTGTGACCAGTCAACACAAGGACTGTGTCGCACAATTGATACATGACTGCGCATGCAGAGATTTCACAAATTCAGAAGGGACACCTCTGATCCAATCCTTTACCATGCAGCTTTTTGCTAGGAACATTTTAGTCATGCTGTTTGAAAGATCCTGGAAGTTGATTGAACAACAACAACAACAATAACAAAACATATTTCCAAGCTCTGGGACACAACCTTGCCTTTGAGTAGAAGAAAAGGAATTGACTGAAGGCTGAAAGGAAAGCAAAATTAACATGCTCTTTCTTTTAAAGATCTGAGAAAACAGTAACTGCAATAAAAGATCCCTTGTTAGGATGATAAATTATCTCAACAGTGACACCTCATCTGTTACAGACACATAAGCGCACAACAAAGGCAGTTTTCATCTCCCTCCCTCTCACATCACAAGGGGTGAGGCTTGGAATCCCTTTAATGAGGAAGACATTATTCCTTCCCCTTATTGCTGGACTAATTGAATTTTCCAAAAAAGGGAGCTT